TCAGCCCTGACCTGACTTACTGTGCGAACAGTGGGATCCTCTGCTGGTGTGCAGTGTGTTTTGTGGATCCAGTTACTTAACTTGTTCTCAGTGAGCCACAGTTTAACACAGTGTGTGGTGCTTTCTGCTACCTTGTAGGGTCCTTGCCACCGGGGCTCAAACCAGTGAAGTTTGTGCGCCTTGCGGTAAACCCAGCTGTCCACGGCAACTGAGGTCGTCTCTTCAGCTTGGTCTCTGCACAGGATTTCGACAACCTGCTCAGAGAGACTCATCACGGCGCTGTTCAGTCCTCTGACATATTCACTTATGTCAGGATGCTGCAAAAGAAGAGGTGTTGAATCTCTAGGCATAACGGTAAGAAGACAGGGCATTTTTCTCCCTGTCTGTATTTCATGTGGGCCCACATTTAGTGATTTGGTTGGAGTAGACCTGAGGTTGAACAATACAATCGGTAGAGTTTCAACCCATTTAAGGTTCTCGTCTGCACAGACTTTTACAAGGCCTTCTTTAATGGTTCTGTTTGTTCTTTCAACCAGCCCTTGTGAGGCTGCATGATAAACGGCTCCAAACTTGTGCTTGATCCCAGACATTTGCTCAACCATGCGTGAATCTCCATTTGAGAAGTGTGTACCATTATCAGATCTGATTATTTCTGGTATACCAAACCGAGGGATTAATTCCCTTGTGAGCCATTCTATGGCCTACAGGCTCAACTCTATCACATGTACAGTACATGACCGCTCTCAGCGGATTTCTAAACCATATGTTTTGCTCCCAGAGCAGGACCTCCAAGGCCCTTGGTACCAGTACCGAGCTCCCAGAGCTCTGACCCCGAAGGTCACCAGTATACGTCATGACGGAGCTTCCAAAGCTCTGATCCCTTGGATCCTTCGTACGGCATATCTCTGAGCTCCCAAAGCTCTGACCTCTTAGGTCTTCAGTACTGTGCATCTCTGAGCTTCCAAAGCTCTGATCCCTTGGATCCTTCGTACGGCATATCTCTGAGCTTCCAAAGCTCTGACCTCTTAGGTCTTCAGTACTGCTTGGCGGTGAGCT